GAGACTCGAATGCAACCAATGGTTAGTGTTGCTGAGAAGGCTCTCTCTAATATCGAGGCTTCAGGCAACGATATGTTCGTGTTCGGCATCAGCGAGGGTGACGTTGTCGTTTTCGATCCGGAGAGTTACAATGTTTATCGTACAATAGCTCTAGCGGATCCTTCTAAGGAATACACGGGAGTCACCTTTGATCAAGACTCGAATATTCTATATGTAACCGAGAAGGCTACTGGGCGGATTGCTCGGTTCATAGGTCAGGGGGGAGTGTGGACTCCAATTGACCCCTTGAATGGTTCGGATGTTCTCATCGAGCCCACTATTTTGCGCTTCACACTCGGTAAACTTTACGTTAGAGTGAATGGCGGCGTCGCCTATGCTACAATGGGCGGGTCTGTGAATCCTCAGTGGTCTTTCGTTCCACTGGATATTCAAGGTGACCAGAGCTTTACTGCTGCTCCAGACGGTTTCCTCTACTACCGTAAGTCTATCGACTCGGTCTATCGTCTTCCATTGGATAATCTGATCGGCGCGGGTGAACTTTACGCTGGTGGATGCGGCTGTGGACTGGCGCCAAATCAAGTGTGTACCTCGGGCAACGGCAACCTTGTGAACTTCAATCCCACTGGTGGCGTTGTCATGCAAGACTACTCCGAAGGACCCGACTTCCGCTTCCTTAACTGGTGTGGAGACTTTTGCACTTCTACTACGACTAGTGGTCACTCGACCAGTATCATTCCAACCCGTGGTCCTCGAACAAGTACAACTTCAACAACCCGTGGGCCCGTGTTCACTACCACAACTCCTGGTCCTCTGACCACTAGCACTACGAGTGGTGGCCATACGACTAGTACTACTACTTCCTCACCAACTGGGCGGTGTTCGGGCGATTTCTGCGTCGCTGACAGGAAGGTGTTCCCCAGTCTTCTTCCATCTGGCCAAATAACTACAGAGTCCTTCAGTTTCACTGACTATGGTGTATGGTATCTAGCTGGCTACTCTAGTGATGATGGTATCCGTATGCTTTGGAGACT